TGATATTTATACATTGCATTATGGTAAGGGAGAGTGTTAATGCACGAAGGGTGATGTCGTGCCATATTGTGAGTGTTAATGCAAGAAGGGTGATGCCGTGCCATATTATGAGTGTTAATGCACGAATGGTGATGTCGTGCCGTTTTTATTTATTTTATGGTGAGATTGAGAGTAAAAGCACGAAGGGTGATGCCGTGCATTTTTCCTTACTGTATTCACTATTCCTGTTGATTCATGGTATATTGACTGCTCCGGTGATCATTCTGTTGTAGTTCTTTATCTTGTATTCCCCTCAGTATGTTCCCCTCCTAACATTTCCTGTTTAGTTTTTCATTTCTATTAATTGTATATATACTGTTAAATTGTACAAGTAAATTTGTAGGTGCCTTGCCTTAGCCTCGTCACTAGTTCGTCGAGGTTAGGCTCGACACTTACCAGTATATGAGGTCGGTTGTACTGATACTACACTCTGCACTTTCTATGCAGATTTTGATACCGGCTCGGGTTGATCGAGATTTTGCTATTGGTCCGCTTTCCGGAGACTCAAGGTAGATCTGTCGGCGTTCACAGACCTTGAAGTCCCCGTCTATCTTTCTGTTCTACTGTTTCTTTCATTCAGATAGTTGTATTTCTTTCTTACTATTACTTGTGGCAAATTCTAGAATGCTCGTGAATTGTGACTCAAGATCCGGGTGGTAGTAATTAATACAGTGTTATGATATTTCACACTTATTATATTTTATCTTAGTTAATTATTGTTATTTACTGAATGAAAATAAGGAATTGGTTTAATGATTCTCTAACGTTGGCTTGTCTGGCAAGTGAAATGTTAGGCGCCATCACGGCCCGTCGATGAAAAATTTCGGATCGTGACATCAACATTACAATTAGTTAAGGTCATGATATGTATAACATTTGTAATTATAGGATATATATTGTAAGAGTTAATAACATGTTATGTTGTATCCTACCTAATATCTCTTTGTAGACAATATTCTTAGTTTATGTGCCTCTTGGTGTATGTGCCTCAAAGTTGGTGTAGCCTTTTGAATATGAAAGCCTGTAATTTGATAAATTTTAACAAAAACATCAAGATAAAAAGATAAAATTTACTTGGCAACTAATTGCATAAATTTCCTGAAATCCAAACAAACCACATGATTTGTACAAACGTCCAAATGAAATTAAAACTGACAAATTAATTTTAATAAAAAACATCAAGATAAAAAAGACAGAATTTTCCTGGGGCATCATAGATGAACGTTATTTGTTATGAATGCACTTACATTCTGCATATCATTGTACCATTACATAAGCCGTTTGAAGTAGGGGTAGGCATCGGTCAGTTCGGTTCGATTTTTAGAAGTTCGATTCGGTTTATTCGGTTTTCGGTTTGTGATTTTAATAACCAAAATCGAATCATAATAATTTCGGTTCGGTTCGGTTTATTCATGTTCGGTTCGGTTTAATCGGTTCGGTTTTTCAATTTCAAGCCATGACAAAAATAGTAGGAAACAACGAAAATAGATTACTTGTTGAGATAATAGCCAAAAAGGGTAACCAAAAACTCCAAGTCCAACAACATATCTCTACAAATTTTCTTGATTTTGCTCTCTTTTCATGGCTATTGATTCTGTTCCACAGCAATTTTACTTTGATGACAAATGGAAACTGTCCAAAAAACAAAGCTTAGCTCGTAGCTGTCGCTCTTCTTCCTCTATTTACAACAAAAGATGTGCTTTTACAAGAAAATGTGCTTCTTTGGTAAAAGAACAAAGAGCCAGGTTTTATATTATGAGGCGTTGTGTTACTTGATGCAGTAGTAAGTTGCTTTATTTTCCAAGATTATACCAAGTGACGACAAAAAAATAAACAAACAAAAACGAAGTTGCTCCAGTAGTATTTCGGTTTTGGGCTTAGTGCAACAATAATTTGGTTTTGGGCTTAGGCTAAAAAAATTCGATTTTTCGGTTTAACCGAAAATCGAACCATTAAAATCGATCACCGAACTGAACACCGAACATTTTAAAACTATAAACCGCAAACCGACCGAATAAACCGAAAAATCGAAACCGAATAAATAGAAATTTTCTGTTCGGTCGATATTATGCTCACCCCTAGTTTGAAGGATCCAATTTTTTTAGTAGCATGATTGGTGCATTTTTCTTCAATACCAGCATGTATAATACAAAATAATTTATTTGTACGTAATCACACATGTATAAAAACAAAATACAATTATTTTTTTTATCACATAATTAAACTCTAAGTTATCAACTTGAATGTCTTACCTTAGCAAGAAGCAGTCTACCTATATTCCAGTACCACGAGTAAAAATCAACAAAAGTAAATCCAATCAAAAAGAGAAAGAAAATGCAAAAGCTAAAGAAGAAGGCGTGTGTATATTTTATATGAATGAAACATCCAAAATAGGTAAATAAAGAATGCAAAATGCAAGAATTATTCTAAGCATTAAATATTGACAACTCTAGCTTACTAACTCCAGAAATGTTATCAAATACTTGCAAATACAATCATTTAACAATTTGAAGGTGTGAGAAATAATCATGTAGGTAATTGTGACGTCAAATTAGAATAGAACAGAGGAAATTTTTTTAAAAAGATTAATTAGTTTGATGCAATTATTCAATTAATAGTGATAATGCACAAATAACCATATTACATAACTTTAAGAATATAGTATAGGATAGAAATTTACCACAAGTGACAAGCAAGTTTGTTATGTGGACGTCAGTTTATGACAAAGAATGAAGAATAATAGCTTCTTTTATAGAAGTTGTCAGCTCCTTCTTATTATAAACTGATTTTGGTTGTAAAATTCTAGAAACCTAAATTGAATCCAAGACAAAGTAAAGACACGAAGAGGACAATCCTAATATGGTCAGTAGACTAAGAAGGACACGAAGGGAACAATCCTGATATAGTTAATTAACTAAGAAGGAATTGAATCCTAAACAAAGACCAAAGAGACAATGGAATTGAATCCAAAAACTGATAATAAGGGGACGTAAGTAAGAAGAAATTGAACCCTAAACCAAGACCAAAGAGTCAATGGAAATTGAATTCAAAACTGATACAAATGGGACGTAAACCGCGTAGGCAAGAATCCCAAACAGTGGAAACTCTATGCAGGAATACGACAATTTGTTTTTTTTCAAGAAAATAGTTATTAGAATTACAATTATATCCAGTATTTAATACACTTACGAAAGGTAAAAAAGATGAATGACATTTTGATAGGGCATTCGTGCTTTTAATATAGTATAGATATAGATATAGATATAGATATAGATAGATAGATATAAATAAATTATAAAAAGATGCTAAAGGTAACATATATCCGGCTTCCATAATACTCATTTAGCTTTCAACTACCAATGTCATCAAGTCTCATATTTGGGAAATATGACATACTATGATTTAAATATGTACATTTTTGTAACTAAAAAAATTTAATAATAAGAATAAAATGTAAAGTTTAAATAAAATTACTTTTAAAATATAGAAACGTCACTTTGTTTTTGAAACAACTGTCACTTTAGAAAATGATATTATTTTTTTAAAAGAGATTATGTAAGTTTGATTTCGATATCCCCAAAAGCCTTTTTCTTTTCCCTTTTAGAAATCTTACAGAAATATCCCAAATTAGTCATAACTTACCAACCTCTAACAATTAATTATAAATTATCAAAACTAGTCAAACACATATAAAAATTGAAAAGCCAAATAAATAAGGATTCTTCCTCACCAAGAATCACATGCAAAGATCTCCTTTCATATTTTAAGCGTGATCAACAACATTAGATGCAAGATGAAAAAGAAATTTCATGAATGAGGTAGCTAGCAAACAAGGTGATGAAATTAAAAAAAATAAAATAATATATATATATATATATATATATATATAAGATTCCAAAAATATAAGCAAAAAAGGACCTTTTTCAATGGGTATGGTTGAAATTCATTGAAAATACATAGATGAGTCAATATACAAAATTTGAGGAAGATTGAAGGTGATTTTGACTGATAGTAAAAAACGAGTTCAAAAAATTCTTTTGCGACACATGTATCATGCATGTATCTCACACACAGGTATATATGGATATACATGTGATATACATTTTATACAAATATGATACATATGTGATACACAAATGATACGCAGTGTGATACACATATTATCTTTTTCCATGTTCATTTTTTATTTCGAATTTTCAATTCAAATCATCCCAAAACTCTACCAAATCATCCCAAAACTGAGACTTAAACTTCTTACGATGTACCCGATCTATTCCAACAATACCCACTCAAAAGAAAATAAAATTTTGATATTTTTTTGGTTACAAATAGCTAATTGGTCCCTCACGCTGATTACATATTTTGAGATCAAAACAAACGAATTACTGATATTTACCCAAGTTGTTTTTGTTTTTTAAAGAGGCGGAATAGGCAATATGTTGCCTAGGGTAATCTCCTCTTATAATAGACTCTTGAGTAGTTTTATTTGTATAAATAAATATCTTCATTACCAAAAAGAAAGAAAAAAAGAATTAGTACATAACAGCGCCTTATCACAAAAAGCGTATTCATTAATTTTATTAAGCATCGGCTTTTTAGGCTTCTAGTTTTGTTGAGTTCCCCCTGACAAAACCTTAAACAATCTGCAAAATGGACCGGAGAGAGTAATATCTAATAATGTGAACAAAACTAAAATATTATTTTCCTGCAATGAAACTTTTATACTAACTTACATATTCTTCGTTTTGACTAATAATTAAAAAGAGCATTAAACTTCAATGCTACTAATGCTTTAGCAAGATTGAGCCAATCTTGACTACTAAATGCAGGTAAAACCAATGCAAAGAGGAGATAAACCACAATTTAATTCCACAAGACCATATTTCCACTATATAAGCCACTGCTTTCTTCACACTTTCTCACCATTGTAGAAGCATCACAATTTAGTGTAATTTACAAATATGGCCACTTCTTCACATTTACTCCTTTCTCTTCTCCTTTGCCTTTTCTTTCTCTCAACCCCAACTCTCTCCAGAAAAATAATTTTGAAACGTACTGCTCCTGCCTCATCTCCTAGTGAAGAAACTCCAACAATCTCACCTTCTCCCTCAGAAATTCCAAATCCAAGTACTGCTTCATCACCTTCACCTGTAAATGCACCAATTAGCTCAATTTCACCATCTCCTCAAGAAGCTCCAATTGTCATCGTTTCACCTCCTCCTCAAAGTGGTGATTCTCCTCGTCCTGCTCCTGTTCCTGCTCCTGCTCCTGTGCCTGAGCGCATATGTGGCCATCATCCTCATGAGGGCCACCACTCAGGTCACGTCGGCCACCATCGCCACCACACTAAATGTATTCACCACCGCCGCCGCCACCACCATCACCATGGTAAAGAATCCCACCATCATGAACATGATCAACCACCTGTTCAAGAACCTGCACCTTCTGCACCAGTTTCTTCTCCTGAAGTTTCAGCTCAAGCTCCTGAATCTGAATGATTTCTCTTCTTTTTCTTATTACCCTATATGCTATTAAAGAGATCAAAATTATCAAGAAAAGAGAAAGGAAAAGGATGTTATATGTCAAATTTTTTCGCAGGACAAGAAATAGGAAGTGAGTATATATAACCAAAAACTTAATATTATGATATAAGCTTTTCAAAAAATTGGTCTACTCCAACTATTGACACCCCTACTTGAAAGAGAATGTATCACGCAAATATTTCCTTTTCTTTTATTTGGCCAAGAAAAAAAAACTTATATTAATTTAAAGTAGAAATACATCGAAGTAATTAGTCGCAACATAAATGGATACTAATAAAGTAATGAATTTTACGCCTAATTCAATCTCAATAATTAATTTATAGGGTAAGGATCGCCAAAGACTATATAAAGAGGTCATTCTACCCAGACGAACCAACGAGGGATTCAACACCCTATTATGAGCGGGGTAAGGGCCTTCTTCGGATGGCATGTATTAATTACCGAAGTAAGAAACATAACAGATCATAAATATAAAATAATAATCCCTCAGTTTCAGATTGTGTCACTGTATTTTCTTTTAGTCATTACTAAAAAATTGAATTTAGATTGCCACATTCAACCAATCAAGGGGAAGCCAGAAAATGAGACAATAACTTTTTTTCGAAAAAACAAAACAAAAAACAAAAAAACTGGTCGCTGTTGCAATGAGCGTCCTACACGAAAATATGTTTAAACCAATACCGCTGTCTTCAAAAGTCATATCCTACCAACACGTCACCAACATTAAGAAGTGTTATTAATTGGTTCACATTTATTAATTCGAATACGATGATGATGTGAGCCACTAATTTCTGATTGGTCGTCCCTGCACACGTAGATTAATACTAGTTTCAATTTGTTTGAACATTCTCCTAGTAGCGAGTTCAGATTGAGTAATTTTCGTGAACTCGTATATATATTTTTAAAATTTTTTAAAATAAATTTTTATATATACAAACTACATAAAAAATACTATAAATTACAATAATTAACAATTTAAAATATTTAAAAATTATTTGTAAAAATTACGGTCAAATTAAATGTTATTTGACTCTCCAAATAATAAAAGGTTCGTTCTTTTGAAACATACAGAGTATCGAATAATGGGAACACAAATAAAATGTTTATTTTCGATAATGAAACTTTTAAAACAGATTCTTCAGTTTGACCAAAAAAAAAAAATGTATAGTAAACTTAAATGCTACCAAAGCTCTAGTTAGATTGTGGCAATCTCGAGAGTTAAAACCTGGTAAACCCAATGCAGATTAAAGAGGAGATAGATTAAAATTTAATCCCACAAGACCATTTTCCCACTATATAAAACCCACTATTTTCTTCAAACTTTCTCACCATTTTAAAAGCAAAGCATCACAATTCATTTTGATTTACAAATATGGCCACTTCTTCACATTTACTCCTTTCTTTTCTTCTTGGCCTTTTCTTTCTCTCAACTCCAACTTTCTCCAGAAAAATACTTTTGGATAATGCTCAAACAACTGTTTCATCACCTTCACCATCTCCACAAGAAGGAATACCAGTTATAATTAGTGTACCTCCTACTCAGAGTTCTCCTTCTCCTGAGGATGATGGCCATGACCATACAAATTGTCATTTCCATCATCATCATCATCAAGATGGTCATCATAAAAATTGTCGTCATTATCATCATCATCATCGTCATCGTCGTCGTCATCATCATCATCATGGACATGATCAACCACATGCTCATGTACCGGCTTCTTCTCCTCAAGTTTCAAGTGATGCTCCTGAATCTGGATGATTTTGACATATATATTAAAATTATCAACAAAAAAGATGTTATATGTGAAATTCTAGAACGAATGCTTAGTTAATTCGAATGAAAATCATTTCCATGTTGAGACGATTCCATCGATCCAAGATTTTTCCATTTTCTTGGCACAACAAATCATGGCTATTTTTTTTTCTTTAGTTTTTTCTCTTCCTCTATTCAATATATTGAAATACTATAATCAGCTTGAATTTATTAAACAAGGCCTTTTCACATATATACAACTCAAAGTAAAATAATTATTTACATGACTTTTGGTTTTCATTTTTCTAAATCCTTTTCTTGAAAAAAGAATTGAGGTAAATTAAAGCAGTATAATATTCCCTCCAGTTCACTTTAATTAATTTTTTAGTTGTTTTCATGCATATTAAGAAATTCATCTTTTAGCATAAATTAACAATAAAATTGACCATATTAATCTTAATTTGTCATTGAAAAAATATAACAAATACTTCTAGGCTCTTTATTCCAAGGGTAACTTTTGAAAAAAGAAGTTAATTTTTTCTTAATATCTGAAAAAATCAAACATTATGGACAACAAAAAATACCAAAAAATCAATTAAAGTGGACCCGAGGTAGTACTTGTGTAACGACCTGACCGGTCGTTTTGGGTATCACAACCACATTTCCCCCTTTACTACTCAATTTGAGCTTTACAATTGTTGTGTGACTTGTCGGGGTAATTGGTTCGGGTTCGGTGAGGTTTTGGAATGAATTGGAACACTTAGTTTCAAGGTTTAAAACTTAAGTTGAAAAGGTTGATTAGATGTTGACGTATGTGTAGTGACCCGGAGAATTTTTGCTAAGGAAATTAAGGTTTTGTGGTGTCGAGGTAGATCAATTAGTACGCGGCTCAGACTTTTTGGCTTGAACAATGCACCGGAAAGTAAAGAAATTTTTTGGCGGAAAAACACGTTTATGCGGTCCATTATGCGATCGCATAATCACTCTGCGGGCCGCATAATAGCCGTAGAAGTGAGGCAGAAGAGGGCTAGTTTGGATGAAATCTGCGGTCGACTATGCGACCGCATAACTGTTCTGCGGTCACTATGCGACCGTAGAACAGGTATGTGGGCCGCATAGTGACCACATACACAGAGAGATATTTGCCAGTATTGGACATCGATTATGCGACCGATATGCGGTCCGCATAACCATTTTGCGGTCGCATATGCGACCGCAGAACCTGTTCTGGAGCTTTATTTTTCTGGTTTTATAAACCCGACCCCATTCTTATAAAACACTATTGGGAGTCATTTTGAAGGGTTTCATCTGATATTTTAGAGAGAGGTGAGAGCATTTTAGAGAGAGAAAGTGAAGACTTAGTCATTTATCCATCAATTCTTGTTCAAGGTTCGAAAATTTCACAAGGATCTTGCTACGGCTTCAAAGAGGTAAGAATTTCTTTCCTCAATTCTTCAATTTCTGGTTTGGAGTAAAAATGGGTGATTAATAGTATAATTTTTGGGTATAAGAGTATTATGTATACATACCAATAAGGTTGTGGAAAGATTGTTAAGTTCAAATGGGTAAGGATTGAGTTGAAAATGGTAGAGATCTTCATAAACTTTAATTGAAGATTTGAGCATCGAGTTGACATCGAAATTTGGTGAAATTTATATGGTTGGACTCGTAGTTGGATGTGTGTTAATATTTTGTAATTTTATCGGGTTTCGAGACGTGGGCCCCATATGCATTTTTTGGGACGTAATTTCGGATTTTGTGAAAAATATTAGCATTTTGATATGGAATTAATTCTTATAAATTGTGTGGACTAAATCAAATTAATTGTGGTAGATTTGAGCCATTCGGGAGTTGATACGCGCATAATGAAATTTCTGGAGGATTGTTTAGCTTGCTCGGCATTGGATTCGGCTTGTTCGAGGTAAGTAACTCTTCTAATCTTGGATACGTATTATGTAAATTGTTTGGAGGTGACGCACATGCTAGGTGACGGGCGTGTGGGCGTGCATCGTAGGCATTGTGACTTGGTCAAATTCCATGGGACTGTATAGTTGAATAATCTGTTGATATCCGTACATTCTCTATGTGTTAGAGAAAATTCAGCTGAGACTCGTATTAAAAATCATGCTTAGGCATATGTTGTTATTGATGGTACCCATTGGAGTAATTTTTGTGGTTGAATTATATGTTCAAATTGTAATTGTTCACTCAGTCATGTTTATTCATATCATATCATACCTCAGTCTCTCTTATTTATTGTTGATATATCATATCATTGTTGTTGGGCTATTTTTCATGACATTATGAGCCCGAGAGACTGAAGAGATTGATGACTGAGTGAGGCCGAGGGCCTGATTGTGAGGATGAGTGTGGATCGGGACTACCCGCCTGTAGCATACTTTATTATTATGGCACGTGAGTTGTCCGTGCGGATTCTGATATGATATTATAGCACGTGAGTTGTCCGTGCGGATTCTGATATGATATTATAGCACGTGAGTTGTCCAACAACAGATTATAGCGCTTGGGCTGAAGGAACCCATCCGGAGTTTGTACACCTCCACAATGAACGCATGTACCTACTGAGTGCGAGTGTCGAGTGTCGAGTGCCGAGTGACTGGGAGGCATGAGTGATTGTGAGGTATGCCCGAGTGGCATGAGTAACTGTGAGGTTTGCCCGAGGGGCTGTATATGAGTGATGTTCTGCCCGAGGGGTTGTTTATGATTTTATTAGTGAGTTACATCGCATTGGCATGCACACATGACATACATGCATAGAGATGTATTTTTCTCATGCTGTACAACATCACATCATTCATAATTTCTCATATATTTTTTACAGATGGGCATAGTGATGCATTTGTTTTACACGGATTATCCGGAAGGGAAAATAAAATATTTTATTTATTATTGAAAAGATTTTGGGAGAAATTTATTGTTTTCAAACTATTCACATTATTGGCAATTTCGGCAAACGATTTGGGTTTTTACTGATGTATTTGAAAGGAAGAACTATTATTTTTGAAATCATGATTTGACTGAGCATTTTATCTTTGAGTTACTTCTGGTGTTATCTGCTTTATGTTGTTGTGGACTATTGGTTGTGGACCCGACCTTGGTAGAAGCTCGTCACTACTTTCAACCTACGGCTAGGTTTGTTACTTACTCAGTATATGGGGTCAGTTGTACTGATACTACACTTCTGCACATTGCGTGCAAATATTGGCTGTTGTTGTTGCTGTGCTCGATGGTTGCGGGATTTGAAGATGTACCTGCATTCCTGTTGTAGCTGCCTCTTGTTCAGGGTAGCCTTAGATTTATAAAAGCTCTTTTTATGTATTATTCAAACAAATTATGTATTTATTTCATTTTCGCTTTGTATATTATATTCTTAGAAGCTCATGATTTGTACTACTAGTTCTTGGGGATTGCATAAGATTGAGACCTTTATTCACTTAAATTGCTTTAATAATTATTATTGGAATTTAATAATTGATAGTTGACTTATTTAACGGGTTGGGTTAGGTGTCATCACGACTGATTGGATTTTTGGATTGTGACAACTTGCTAGCTTCTCAAATTAGTACTTCTGTAGGTTGATATCTAGAAAGCTAATAATGTGAACACAAATAAATTACCGTTATCTTTTAAATATTTTTTTTTCTATTCGTTAAGAATAAAACTTTTAAGGAAAAAAAAAATAGAAAACAGAGAACCATAAAATCAATGATCCTTTTTTTTGGCAGAATACATAGCTAGCCCCTTAAAGTTGTCCACACTTTTCACTCATCTTATGTCTGTTTCATTTAAATACTCTAATTATATCTTAAATGTGTCATTTAGACACAATTTTGACAAGCAATCAAATATAAAACATCCCGGTAATTCACACGCTAGAGTGACAAATAAGATAGCTACACACAGATTTTAAAAAAAAGCTTTTGAAAAAAATGTAAAAGAAAAATAAGAACCCCACCCCATCCTTTCGTCTTCTTCCTCGATTAACGATGGATAATTTGAAAAATATAAATTTATGGTAAGAATATTTGTGTCTTAAAAAAAATTAATTTTCTACTTCTACTTCTTCTTCTTGAAAGAAGATAGAAATTTTAGCTTCTTTTCAAAAGGAGAAAAATTGCTTCTACTGTTACTAAAAAATACTTATCTCTCTGGGCCAAACACCTCAAATATCATTTTTTGACAAATAACTTTTTTTTAGAAAAACTTTTGGCCTCCCAAAAGCTTGTCCAAACAGGCTATTAATATGCATTATTACAAAGGAAGTGCTATAGTTAGGAAAGTAGTCCTTACTATCCACATCCAATACTTTCCTAACAAAAGTAATTCCTAATTTCTCTACTTATATTGCATATAAGAGCAGTTAAAGGAGGAACACAATATACACAAAAAGATCATCATGTTGCATATGTACGTCCCTACTATAATTAGTTCATACTGGGTTGATCAAAACTGATATTTAAACGGAAAATAAAAAAAGAATGTGCTCCTAAAATGTTTATACTTTGATAATGAATTAAATTTATAAACTAATTGTAAACTCAAAATTTGAAAAGAGTAAACTTTAATGCAATCTTAAGTGAAAATGCAGGAAATATCTATACAATTATACAAAGATGAGATAAAGCAGTATTTAATTCCATAAAGGCCATGTCTACACTATATAAATTCCATAGAATTTAATTCTATTTGTACTTTTTGTTTTGTCGTTAACTTTGAGGTTTGACCTTTTTTTCCTTTCACATAACCATTCAAGATTTTACCAGGTTTCTACTATGAGTTCATACTAAACTCCCATTATTGGCTTGATCACAACTTTATTTTTCTTACCCGATAAACCAAAAAAGGATGTCTTATTATATTTGGCCTTGAAATTTCTTTAATTAGACATATGAAAATAGCAATTATAATTATTTAATGCTACCAAACCTCTAGCAAGATTGAGGCAATTTTGATTAAATGCAGGTAAATACAAAACAAAAAGGAGATAAACAAGAATTTAATTCCACAACACCATTCTTCCACCATATAAGCCACTGTTTTATTCATACTTCTTCACCATTGAAGTATCATTATCACAACTAAGTGATTTACAAAAATGGCCACTTCACATTCACATCTTTCTCTTCTAGTCCTTGCTCTTGTCTTGATGCTTTCTACTCCAACTCTCTCCCTAAGAAGAGACTTCTTTAAAATCTCAAGAATTTCACCTTCTTTTGATGATCTTCCAATTTCCACACCTTCTCCTGAAGAAGCTCCAGCTCCAGATATCTCTTCTACAACCACAAATGCTCCTCTTATATCACCATCTTCTTCAACAGATATATCACCTTCTTCTTCAGACATCGTCTCTAGTAGTACTCCAGCTGTTTCGCCATCTCCAGAAGTAGCCTCGGTTAGTTCACCTGCACCTTCAGAAGAAACACCAGTTGTCTCTCCATCTGCACCACCAGTTCCTGAGCATGGTCATGACCATCATCATCATCATCATCACCGCCATCATCATCATGGCCATCACCATCATCGTTCACACCATCATGGTCATATCGGCCATCATCATCATGATCAACATCACCATGAACATGATCAACCTTCTCATGAACCAGCACAGGGTGCACCAGCTCCTTCTCCTGAAGATTCAGCTCAAGCTCCTGAATCCATGACCTTAGACTATATCATTAAGAATTAGTTATCTTCTAAGGATTAGAAAATCAATCAAAATCTTAAATAAAAGAGTTAAAATTTAATATTAAAAAGTTGAGTTAGTTATAATTTGCTATCCTTTTGTTATTCATAATGGGAACATGCATGCATGTATATTTTCAGTTTACCCGGAAATTCTTTGCCCTTGTTCTGATTACAACAAGCAAACGTTACAGATATCCTTAGTCACTGGCTAAATTAGAAATTCCGTCAAAGATATTCAAGATTTAATAGCATATACTCCCTCCATTTTAATTTATGTGAACCCATTTGACTAGACACATTTATTTTGTGTGGCTATAAATCATTACATAAAGATAAATTATTTCCAAATATTGAAAGAGGTCATTCCTTTTGGCATGGACTAAAAAGAAAATAAGTTCACATAAATTGAAACGGAGGGAGTAATATATATACAAAAAATTTACCTATATACACATTAATTCTCTATATACACTACGTAATTTTTCAATAAAGAGTGTTCAGCGCTCTGCCATTGTCCCTAGTTTCTCCCTTCATTTCTTCCTTTTGACTTTCGAATCCACCTCCTCTCATAAAGAATAATTAAATTACCAGTAATTATGCTGATGTGAATGGGAGCCTTGTAATAACGGTAAAGTTATCTCCGTGTGATTTATAGGTCACGAGTTTGAACAGTGAAATTAACAATTGATACTTGCATTAGGGCAGACAGCATATATCACACTCCCCTGAGGTGAGAACCTTTCCAAGAGGCTGTTTTTTTTAGTTATGCTGACTAATTCTTGATCAAAATCTGACCTGGACTAGCCCAACCAGTGCAACGACAGGTCCAACCCAAAGGAGATCAAGCCCAGCCCAGCCCAGCCAACGTGAATTCGCGCAAAGGAAAAATTCAAAAATAGTCAGATTTACAAGTGGTAATTGAAAAATAGCCGCAGTTTCAAAAGTAATCGAAATTTAGCCATTTTTCATATAAAGATAAATAAGAACGAAAACACTGTTCAAAATCCGGAAAATATTCCAGCATAATATACTGGAGTTCCAGTATAATATCCTGAAACTCCAGCATATTATACTGGAGTTCCAGTATAATATACCGGTCTAGCATAATATGCTAGAAGTTCATACATAGGTGCTCCAATCTCCAGTATATTATACTGGATCGGTCCGTGTTGCAACAAAATAATGGCTATTTTTCAATGTCTTTGTAAACGTTGGCTATTTTTCAATTACCAGTTCGAAAACTAGTTAGCCCGTGCTATTTTTACTCGCGCAAGACCTTTGGTGTGTCCTCCGGCCCAGCCAAGACCAGGCCAATCCTAAACGTCCACTAGTGGATTTTATCATCCACAATTCTGTGTTTAAATTAAATTTTGAAAACTAGTGTTCCCGAGAATTTAAATTTTTCGTGTAATCTACTTATAATTAACCCATATTAGAACTCCAAATAAGTAAAATACCTGTGATTTTTAGTGAATATTCTGCTGAAATATTTTTCCAAATAGGGCGTTGAATATATAACACAAATAAAATAGAGAAATAATTTATATCAGATTTATTATTATGGTATAATTTTACATGACTACTAAGAGAGAAATTCAAATGGCACTATATGAAATTGTTTTAACAGTCTCTAATAATAACTTAACTGTGACCGATTGACATTTAGAGGACATGAATCTTGTTTAATATAGCATTTATTTACGCCTTGTATATAAAAAAAAATGAAATTCTTAACCAACATTTGATCCTTATTCTTTAGCTTCATTTATTTAAAGAAACAAATACTGGCATTTATGTTATTAGTAAAAATAATAATTAATCAGTATATATCGATTTCGACAACAAAAAATTAGTCAAATATCCCTTCAGCGCAGCTATAGGTGGATTGTCAGTTTGACAAATATAGTGGCGAGTAATTATTTTCTTCCCTTTTTTTTTCCTCGTCTTATCTTTACATTTTTTTAAAGTAGATGCAATTAGCGGCAGAGCCATATTATAGTATGTCAAAATATAAAGAAGTAAACGTATAAAAAAAATTAAGAAGATTCAACATATAGTATATATACATAAATATATTTTTTTTACCTAGTTATAGAATATAATCTTCTGGCAAAATGGTGCCAATTTATGCCCCTTAGCCCAAGGCGCCACAAAATATGATGTTAGGGAACAAGGGCGGATCTAGTACAAAGGCTTATGAATTCTTATGAACCCAGAAACTTTTATATAGACCTTATATTTGGAGAAAAAACCTTATTAAAAATATGAGAATATTTAACTTGAAACTCAATTTGTTGATCCAATTATCATGTATATTAGCTTGAAATCATTCTAGGAATTTATAAGCTTAAAATTTTAAATTCGCCTCTGTTCGGGGAGGGTTAATCCTACAATTTCAATGACTTGATTGTAAAAAAGAAATTGTCATTAAAATGTAGGACAAATGCAGGATTTAATCGAAAATCCTATAGCCACAAATCCAACGGTCCAGCAACAGGGGCAAATACTTAAATACACGAGCTCAGTGGATTACTCAAATTTGCATCACTTCCTATGGCCTTATCCTCACTACTATCCCCTCCAACTCATGTTTCTTCAAACTCCACACATTCTATTCCCAAGCTTTACCACTTCTCTCATTCCACCTCTTTTTCTTTCCAAAATACTCCTAGTTTCATCTCCTTTCCAACCAATACTTGTCCTCAAAATCAAAAATGGCGGACCAATGTTTCTTTCTTCCCTTCTTTCTTTAACAAGACCCTAGACCCTACACCCATTAAACAAGAGCTTCTTGAGGCCATTGCCCCTCTTGATCGTGGCGCTGACGCCACTCCTAAAGACCAGCAAATAATTGATCAGGTAATTTGCTTAATTACTACTCCTAATTTATGTTAATATATTTTGCTTCTCAAGATTCAAATTATGCCAAGTTTGACAGATATTTTAAGATAGTATTTTTTTAAATATATTGACATGAGAAGAAATGCAACTTATACTCCATCCGTTTCAATTCATTTGAACCTTTTCGGAGTACAAATGTCCAATTTGTTTGAAACTTTTTCGCAGCACAAAGGTCAAATTAACTAATTTTCCATGAGAATTTGGACATAAATACTTTAAGTTTTTTGAAATAAAATTTACATATTTAAAAATTACATAAAAATACTATAAGCTACAATAGTTAGCAATTGAAAATATCAAAAACTATTTGTAAAAAAATAGTCAAAGAAAATCTTGTTTGACTCTTCAAATAGTAGTAGGTTCATTCTTTTTTAAATGGAGCGATTAGTACTTTTCGTGTAGTTTTTAAATATATAAATTTTAATTTTAAAAGATTGAGCCGAACTAATTCAAATTTGCTTAAAAATTTAGTCAAATTAACTCTTGATAAGCGAAATGTATCATATAATTGAAATAGAGGGAGAATGTTCCATTCACTTAGCTTGTTGTTGCAGAGATAAATATTCTAAGCCATACGAGCTGATTGTAGTTACCATGTTTTCTTGATCTATGGTTAAGACTTGTTCAGTGTCTATAGGTAGAGGCAGAGCTAGGATTTGAAACTCAGAATTACAGGTGTTTTAAGTTATTGCATTATAAATTAATAATTTACGTATATTTTTAAGACAAATACATTGTTTGAATCAAATTCACTGGGTTCGGCGGAACCCGAGCAGAAGAGCTCGCTCTGCCCCTGTCTATAAGTTCCGGAAAATGTTAGTAACAGTTAGATCAGCAAAGATGATACTGTGAAATTGTGCACATAATGATGTGTCTGTTTATAGTCTGTCAATTTTTGCCTTACCAATATTATTTGATTAGATTGCGCGCAAACTTGAAGCTTGCAACCCAACAAAGGAGCCTCTCAAGTCAAATCTTCTAAATGGAAAATGGGAACTTATATACACCACATCCAAGTCAATTTTACAAACTCAAAGACCCAAGATTTTAAGATCTAGAGTAAACTACCAAGCAATAAATGGAGATATACTTCGAGCTCAAAATATGGAAGGATGGCCATTTTTCAACCAGGTTACTGCAGATTTGACCCCATTGAATTCAAGAAAAGTGGCAGTAAAGTTTGATTATTTCAAGATTGGTGGGATTATACCTGTTAAAGCTCCAGGTAGAGCTCGAGGTGAGCTTGAAATTACTTACTTGGATGAAGAATTGAGAGTATCAAGAGGTGATCTTGGCAACTTATTCATTTTAAAAATGGTGGACCCTTCTTACAGGGTCCCTACTTGAGATTCAATACTGCATCCGTTTCAATTTATATGAATCTATTTGACTGAATACGAAGAAATAACGACTTGTAAAACTTGTGGTCCTAAGCAAGCTATAACCTTTGTGTGATTATAATTTTTTTGAAACTTTAAACATGTCAGAGTATTTGTATGACTATAAAAGTTTCTCATTGAGGGTATAACTGAAAATTTAAGTTAAATTATTTTCAAATTTAAAAAGAGATCATTCTTTTTAAACCGTAAAAAAAAAAATAGATTCACATAAATTGAAACGGAAGGAATAGTTGTCTAGTGTCACATCTTATATCATAAGAGTACTAGTTTGTGCAAATTATTTGAAAAACTTTCTCCCTTTTAATCTATACAGAATTACATTCGAAGCGAGTAACTCTGAAATGCATAACAAATCTATACTAGTACTCCCTCCGTCCCTATTTGTTTGATGCATTTCGAATTTCAAGAGTCACACGAGTTTTTTCTTTGACCATTATTTTTCGTATACGCCTTTTGAATATTAAGAATGGAGTATTAATTATTGTGACTTATAGTATTTTTGATGTAATTTTTAATTAAGTATATTTTTTTTCAAAAAATTAAAGAGTCCATATCCGAATCCGTGGCCAAAATTGAAAAGTTTAACTCTCAAAATTCGAAATACATCAAACAAATTGGAATAGAGGGAGTAATATTTAACTATGATTTTCAATCTTCAAAGTTCAAATGCCAAGGACAAAGGATGGTAACAAAGTAACAT